TCAAATTACTGTGTTGTCGTTGTTTTTTGAATTTTCGTCGCGTGCAAGATTTACATGTGCCCTGTTATTGGTGTGAGATGTTGCAAGGCATGGGTTATCCACCCCGTTTCTGAAAAACCTGTTGTTTTTTTGTTTCAGATACTCGTTTTGTCATACGAGCTATTTATATCCCTTCCCTTTTTCAGCCACTTCCCAGATAATAGAGAATCACACCAGATATTACCATGCTTATCTGATGAAGCAGTTGTATTTTGTGTGCAAACGCTGTTGGACGTATTCACGTCACGTGAACACCCTCCATGAACCCTGTTGGGGATGTCATATTTTAGAAAGCACAGGATGGGAATTCTGAACACCCGGCAGGGGGAGGTCTGCATGGTGGCGCCACCCCTGCTGGATATTCAGTCTTCCTTTTATTTTTTATTAGATTCCCATTGGATCATTCAACGTGTGATGATTTTCCAAAGCTGGCCCATCCCTCACAAACTTTGCATTGTCAATCATCAAGGATGGTCCAGCTTACTTCATTTGTTCAAACTCAAACGTTGATTTTTTTCATTAGTATGTCATTGGTTCCTGGATGCTCAAACTAAGATACTGATTTTTTATTAGCATGTCACTGGATCCTAGACCATTTTGATTATAATCAAGACTGGATTTTAATAGAATATTATTGTAAACAAACATTTCAAGGGCGTGACACCACCAGGGCGTCACACACGTCCCGTTTGTAATGAAGGTCTGTTTTTTTTCAGTCAATCATTGGACCCTAAACCATCGCCTCGTGCGTGCCAATGGTCGACTGTTTCTCATCCAGTTTGCTTCTTGGATCTAACCATTCCTCAATTCAATTCGTTTCAGTCACTTTGGCCACGATCAAATTCCCTTTTATCAAACCATGGTCATACACAGGTTACAACCACTACATCAAATGGCCTCATCCCCTGCTCATGACTTCTTCTGCTAAGAAGCAAACACCTTATTTTGATTTTGTGTATTAATGTAAAAAATGGGCGTGACGTCATTAGGGCGTCACACACGTCCCGCTTGTAACCAGGCTCTCCTCACGATGTGTTCATTAAAAAAGTGGATGTTGACCTCCATAGAGTGTGTTTTTCTTGACTTTGGGGATGCGAGGGGTCTGGGACTACTTTTCGTGGTTTGCGCATGCGCAGTAGGTGTACGCGGAAATAGGCTCACAGGCATGCGGGGGGTCTGGGGAGACCATTGGCGGTCTGCGCATGTGCCTACGATCCCATTCACGTGACTGCGCAGGGCCAACGCCTGGGCCCCCACTGCGCATGCGTCCAACTATCAGGCTCTTCTCTCCATAAAACTATGCAAACAATGTAGATTCAACTCTTGTGTGCGTGTGTTCTTTATTCCATGGGGTCACGTGGGTTAAAACAATGGGTTGTGACGTCAATAAGTCACATGGGCCAAATGCGCGATTCTGATTGGTCGAGACCAAATTTGCTGCGCTCTGATTGGTTACTCCCTAGTGTAGCCCCTATTACTACTGCGCTGGTTGGACATAAGATAATTATGAATATGGCCAACTTGGCTCTACGCGCCTCGTTGGCTAACTACCATCTCATATCCAACCCACACTCATGGAATAATTGTTAATTACAACATAACAAAAGTTAAGCGCGCGCTCTGATTGGTCAGTTAGCCATCTACCATTTGTCCGTGGGTACACGCCAAAAAACTGAGCTAGCGCGATAAAGTTGAGGCAAATTCAGCTAATCTCCTCTCCTGTCAGTAAAATGCACCGATGAAATGTACAAATGAAAAGTGGAAGTTAAAGAAAATACTCATTTGTCGTTTTGAAGAAAAACGTCAAAAGATCAAGCGACAAATTTGCCCTGGATGAATTTATCACTGTTTTCTTCGCGGATAAGATCGTCTAGAAGAAAAACCGAATGAGAGAAGATTTAAGGCATATATTGTGTGCTTTTATAGGATGGGAAATCTGTTTTAAGATGGAAATTTATCAATTAGCATCCTGTTATTGGCGTTTTAGTCGAACTGATGTTAAATTCAAGTAGATTTTTTAGGAAGCACGCTCAGATTCGAGACAGCTTTGTTGTGTTCTTATCACATCGATTAAAAATTTTAGTTCAGTTACGGATACATTACGCTAGAACTGTAAAGCGAATTTCATTTCAGTACAGGAACATTTGGGTTTTCAAATAAATTTTTCAAAAAATGACCTCTCTGTTTATTATTTTGTTTATGTTCATTCATAACTTACAGTAGTTCAAAGAACGGTCCTCTTTAGAAGGAGAAGATGACTTGTCTAGGTGCCCCGTGGTGCCTCATTCAAACTAACTAAACATGTTTAATTAAACCATGTTTTAAAAAATGAAAACGGGCACGAAAAACAGGAACACAGGTTTTTCACAAGATGCGGTAATTTGCAATAAAGTTGCCATCAACCTAAAAATGTTTTTAGGAAGGAAAAAAAATTATACCGTGTTTGACTAAATAGCTTTTAAAAATAGACCGATCAATATAAAGAAATTCGAAAATGAAAGCGATAAAATAAAGCAATTGATGGTCTATAAAGCTTAGCTTTATCTGGTAAGATGCCTTCTTTCCTTTAACTTTCTTTCTTTTTTTTATGAAAAAAACAAAGGTTGGTTTTCAGTTGGGGTCTTAGAAGAAAAGATAATAATTTCTTCTTAATTTAGTGGACCTTACTTTGAACAAGCGTCTTTTACAAATACATAGGATAGTAGGAAATTAGGGCGTTTTCACACGGGAAGACGAGGTTGCATCGTTATAAAAAAAATGACAGTTAATACAAAATATGACTTTATACCGTTTGCGTCATTAACAGATAGAGGCGAAAATTGAATGACTTGACAACGTTTATTTAACATTTATTTAATGCGTCAGCGTGCGTATGTCAAGATATCAGGCAAACGGGAAGTTTGGGGAGTGAGAGTTGCTCTAGTAGCAGACAGAATGGCAAAGTTCAAGTAATTTTCAATAAGGTCGAATAAAACGACGGTTCATGAGAATATAGCCTAATCCTTTTGATTCTTTCAAGTCCCAGTAGTTTTCATTATGACACATCTGGAACTCAGAATTCATTTCTTAAAATAATATTTGCATTTATATTGATGACAATGTTCCTCAAAGGTTCCACCAAAAGTAGACTTCACAATATTAAACTCAGCGATGGTTGAGTGCTATCATTTTCAGTAACTTTTAAAACGAACACGAACACACAAAAACAAAATTGCCGCCGATAACGAGGTCCTCTTTAGAAGGAGAAGATGACTTGTCTAGGTGCCCCATGGTGCCTTATTCAAACTAACTAAACATGTTTAATTAAACCATGTTTTAAAAAATGAAAACGGACACGAAAAACAGGAACACAGGTCTTACACAGGATGCGGTAATCAAATTCAACGCGTTTTGTAATTTGCAATAAAGTTGCCACCAACCTAAGGTGTTTTTATGAAGGAAAAAAAATTATACCGTGTTTAACTAAACAGCTATTAAATATAGACCGATCAATATGAAGAAATTCGAAAATAAAAGTGAAAAAATTCAGCAATTGATGGTCTATAAAGCTTAGCTGCGGCCTTTTCTTGAACTTTTTTTTCAATGAAAAAACAAAGGTTGGTTTTCAGTTGGGGTCTTAGAAAAAAAAGATATAATTTCTTTTTAATTTGGCGGACCTTACTTTGAACTAGCGTCTTTTACAAATGCATAGGATAGGAGGTAATTGGCGCGTTTTCACACCGGAAGACGAAGTTGCATCATTATAGAAAAATGTCAATTAGTACAAATATGACTTTATACCATTTGCGCAAGAGAGAATGAGTCGTTAACAAATAGAGGCCAAAGTTAAATGTTTATTTAACAATTAGATCATGCGTCAGCGTGCTTATGTCAAGATATCACTGAGGCATACGGGAAGTTTGCGGCGTCAGAGTTGCTCTAGTCGAAGACGGAATGGCAAAGTTCAAGTTAAGCACTGGTTAATACAGAATTGACTTTACACCGTCTGTGCAATGATAGAGGCAAAAGTCAGTGAAAGATAGCTTAGGGAGAAAGTGGAAATTAGCTCATGGAAAAAATAATTTCTCAGTTGTTTTTAGTAAATCAACTACGAACAGGTGCGCCACCATAAATGTTAATGGTCACGCAGATCACGACTATTTTCTGCGCTTTCTTGAAATGAGTATTCATCAATTAATAGGTCCGTTAATTTGGCGTTGACGCAAATGCAAAAGTTTTGATATTGACATGTGGCACTAATGTGGAAGTTTCTAATGTCTCATTCTGTTTATTCACATCATTGATGTTTTATGGGTGTTTTTAATAAAACAATCATTCCACCCCGGCTTCCTGGATATGGGATAAATTTATGGCCAACCGAGACACGTATAGGCAAGTATCCAACGCGCGCTCTCGTGGAATAATTGTTGATTATTGTGTATTCAATTCAATGCAACATCAAATGGATCTATAATGATAGCATGATTATTGCCACTTCCTTCTGGTCAGGAATAATATTTGCATCTTCTTTATTCTAGGTACCATCTGAGAGAGCTTGAAGGGGCTACGTCACTAGGATATTGCGGTTCTATGTCAATTTCTTTGCTTAACTACAAGTAAATAACAGTACATAAACCCCGGCTTTAAAACCAATACTGAGGGGCTAGGCTATGGGCCGGGAGCCCTCAGGCAGAACAATCGTGAAGCGAAGTAGTTGAAAACGAATAAAACGTTACCGTGAATGTTTACCATTGTATTAAAACCATGTTTTTGTGCACTAGCAAATGGGCAGCCTTTATCAACGCCTATTGGAAGAATTTATTCAACCTTTTGATATGGAACTACCTATTGAATTTAGATTGACAGTTAGATTGAACTATTATAGCTTTACTTACATAACAATTTGGTAAAATATAAAGGACAACGAAAGAACCGCCAGAAAGTATTTTCAAGAGAAAAGACCTGCCGAAGAATAAGTAAGCATGAACACAACAGCAAATGGATCAAGTTCCTGGAGCTGCTCCAGTCTGATAAATCAAGAAGCACGAAAAGTTGGAGCAACAGTTGCTTATAGTTTAATCCTCGTAGTCTCGCTTGTTGGAAATCCTCTCATCGTATTAATTGTTTACAAAACACCAACTTTGAGAAAACCGATAAATATGTTGATCGCAAATATGGCCATGTCCGACCTGCTCTATCCAATGTTCCTGTCCCCTGTTGAGCTGGCAAAGTCGCACGTTGGTTCGTGGCTTATCGGTAGTACCCTTGGTGAGGCCTTATGTAAGATGCATTCTTTTCTTGCAGGCGTTTCCATGTTGGTGTCGGTTCAAAGTCTGGTTCTACTGACAGTGGATCGATTTAGAGCTGTTGTACTTCCACTTCGTCTCCGCCTCATCAGTCATCATGTCTCTATTTGATTGTTGGTACATGGATACTCGCGGTGGCCTTTGAGTCGCCATATTTGTTTGCGTACAAACTTGTTGAAGATCCAGAAGGAATGCAGTGCGTACGTCAGTGGGAGGAGGCCTTCGGAGAGGAAAGCTCCTATCCTATTTACGTCGTTGTAGTTATCATCTTGTTTTTTTTGAATCCCCTTTGTCCTCTTGGTGATACTTTACTCTATCATCCTAATGAACCTTAAGGAACAAGTTCACCCAGGTGAGCCGTCAGCGAATACCAAACAACAGCGCACAAGAAGAAACAGAAAAGTGCTTAAGATGGTCATTGCTATTGTTGTAGTGTTTTTCATTTGCTGGATACCCGTTTATACTAACGTTGTAATAGTTTATTTTGTACCTGAAATTCGGTCTTCCTGTAGTTTTGATCTATATTATATTTTCACCTACTTTATGTCTATCGCCAACTGTGCTGTCAACCCGATTATCTGCCTCATTTTTAGCAGTAACTATCGCAAAGCTCTCAAGAGACTTGTGAATTGCTGTGATGCAGGTTAAGATTAACTTTTGAAAACTGAAACCTAGGTCCGCAGAGATTCGTGAAAGAAAGCGACCAATATGAAGAACTTTTAAATCTACTGTATAACATAATAGTAAGTTTACAAAATTTTATGAAAATTAATGCATGCAACTTGTGTTTTAGCTGAAACGTAACCTTAGCAAGCCCAAACCCCTAGGAAGGGTGGAAAGTATTGTATTTAACGCATTTGCTTCGTCTTAGTTTGTATTTTCTTTGGTTGTAAATTACAGCTTTTAGTGTTGCTAGATAGCTACACCCACTCACAATCAGTAAATTATTATTATTATCATTATAAAATTAATAATAATAGTAACAAACAATTGATTATTATTATTATTATTATTATTATTAATATTATTCATTATCATCATCATCATCATCATCACTGAACACAGCTTCTGGATGGTTTGCAGTAGAATCGGCAGGAAATCTAAAGTAAACAGTATGATAGCAGATTGACTCGCAAACTACGAAACCTGAATCAAGACGAGCAGGTAGCCATGTTCCTGCCACGACCAAGACGTGGACTTCAGCAGAGATGAAAAAATAGATCAACAGCAGCTGCCGGTGGAAGTCAGGTTGAAAATCTTTCACACCAAAGCCTTCAGCCTGTCCTCAGTTGTCATCACCATAACTACCTCTAGCACCTGCCCAGTCACTGGTGCCTTCTAACCTGAAAGCGATGCTAACATCCCCTACAACGGGAACTGGTCGTGTTGTAAAGAAGAAGCCATCTAGACTAGACCTATAGAGACAAAAGTGTAAAAATAACTGCTTTCTTTTATAGTTTCTGCGCTATTTGATAATGAACATTATTTTGTTGTAAAGTAGAGAGCGCATCGCCAAATAAATCAGGGGCACCCAACGACGGTTTCCTCCTAAATACATACTTAGAAAATAATTTTCAGGCTTGTAACTTTTAGATCTCTAAAAATGCATGCTAACTCGGGCACTATGAAATTTGTATCTGCTTGGTCATCCTAGGTGAACTCGAGTCTTTTCGAAATTACTAGGGCTTCAGTATGATCTTCCCGAAAATTTTAGATGCAACTGATTTGACGTATTACCAAAGTGATAATTTTTCTAATTCCTCTCTCCATCACATCTTTTGAATTGGAAAATGTTAGGTTTCCTTGTTTCTACGAAAAATTGCTTAATCTGGGCGGTGAAATGTGAAAATTTATTTTCAGAAAGTCGTAGGGAGTTTATTAGATCAGCTTCGAAAATTGTACGTGAGCTGAACGGTCATCCAGAATTTTTTAGCCGTCACCAAGTAATAGAGTGAAATGGAGCTCTCATTCAAAGTTGTTGGTTATTTGAAATGTAAAGAAGTAAACATTCAATTCTTGCCCCCAAATTTAAAAATTGCTAAGAAAACAGCCTTGCATCTGATAGATAATTAAAACCACAACCTGGCAAGCAAAAAACACAAAAAGCCACTTTCCAGAAACGCTTATGTGCAACCACTTCCCTTGCATAATGGGCTGTCGCTTGTTTTTATTGAAAAATAAAGTAAATCAATCAATTTTTTACTGTGCTAGATGGACTTTGACCTTGTCGCTTATCTGCCAATCAAACCGGCGGTCTCAAGACCAAAGCTAATAGCGCTGTGGACAGATGACGTCACAAAAACGCGACCTCTACCGAGACTCAGACAAAGATGGGCCATTTCTGCAGAAGGTCGCAAGAGCGCTGCATGAAAACGCACAGTTTGCGATCAGTCTTACCTGCGTGCAGACGTCTCCTATTTCCTTTGTTGTACGCGGAAAAGGGACGTCTGCGTAGCGCCGTCGCTAGTCGCGTTCCAGCCTCCCGCTGGCAGGGTATTCTATTTCGCATAAATTGTGAAATAATATCCGGTTGGAAATCAGAAGCTCGTGATAATGCGAAACGTGACCTTGAGAGTCTTCTTGAACAAGTTTTTCTTCTTTTCTCTCTCGCCCGAAGGTTATTAGCACTACACAGTGCATGTAGCATTCTAAACTTTGACTGAGTAAATCTCGTTTTTGCCGCACTAAGTCTTACATTTAGAGGTCATGAAGAGGGTTTGTTACATGTATACTGAGTAATCATTTCCTGTGGTTTATGCTTCTGTGGGTGTTCCTGATAGCATTTGATTTCAGATGCAGTTGTAAAGTATTGAAAGATTTTAGTTTCTTTGGCTGGCTTTCTCCGAAATGCCTGCCTGGTGCGAAGTCCACGCCGCTTTTGTAGTTTTCTCAGACACTGTTTATAAATATGATGTGATGTGTCATGCACAGTAAATTGTAAAGACTGAAATAATTTCCTCGCACACGTTAAATTTTCCGCGGCCTCGCACAAGATTTCGAACGGTCTGCACACAATGGCAATTGTTTTGATTTGTTTTGGCTGGAACACCCCGATTAGATAAGGGCGGACCATTAGAAACTTATTGGGCGGGCGGGCAAAGTACAACAAAAATATTCACGCAAGGGAAAATTACATGAAAAAAATTCATGCACGCCAATTAATCCTAGAAAATATTCATGCTATGGCCTAAAAGAATTCATACAAGAAATTTGATATCGAAAAAAGTTAAAATTCCTGCGGCTCGAAAATTCCCCTTCCCCCACCATAACTTTTCTAATGGTCCGTCCCTAAATCACCGCATTCATTATCAGACCAGATTCGATAACAACCAATCAGCATTTAGTCAAACAATGCGCACTGTGTGTCAGCCTATCACAGCATGTTCCCAAGATCTTGGGAACCCAGCGGGACGCTGGAACACTGTAGCGACGGCGTTACGCAGACGTCCCTTTTCCGCGTGCAACAAAGGAAATAGGAGACGTCTGCACGCAGGCAGCGGTCAGTCCTGCCCTCCCTTTTAGCGTTTTTAGGAGCGTTCCTGTTTCGAAATTCAAGAAAGATCAAGGAGAATATAACGTCTGTTGCACCTAGGCGTGTACACGCGAGGAACTAATATGTTGTAATGTGATTCAAACTTGACAAGTTTTGGGGCCAAACATTTGAAGTTTGGAGTAGATAGGTAGCTGTTGTCGACTTGATTTGTTTTCGCTCAACAAAATATTCTTTGCAAGAATTTTCTGACGTCAAGAATAATTTTCTGGAGGGAAGCCTGCTGTTTCTGAGCGAGAGATATGCCTGAAAGTTGAGAAAAATGAAATATGAGCGGAACGCGCTGATAAAAAAAAAATACAGCTATTCCCAGTGCTCGCTCGTGCAACACGGGCCTTTTTTTTTCTGTCCAGTAGGCCAGTTGCACGATAGCGTCATTTTACTACTACGACCAGAATTCTTTTCGTTTTTCTTTTCATATTTAAGTTTGGTAATCCCAGTGAGGTTTAAATAACAAAAGCCCTAATTAGCACAAGAAAGCAAAACCCTGAAGGATTCTGGTCATATATAGTAGTAAAACGACGCCATTATGCAAATGCCCATTACTTGCTAGAGTTGTATTTTCATGCATGTGTTTGGTAATCTCCCTCGGGAGTGACATTCTGTATATAATAAACTTGTGTGTAAGAAAATTTGTCTAGTTTAGATGCAAGCCCCTGGTGAGAGGATTTTTCCTGCGTTACGTCTTGATTGCCGAAGAACAAATTCCACATCCCTTTGTGACGTTGCCTGCGTGCAGACGTCACCTATTTCCTTGTTGCACGCGTACAACAAAGGAAATAGGAGACGTCTGCACGTAGGCAAGTTGTGACCTTGCCATCCGTAGAAAAAGAATACAGGAAACAGGTTCAATGCATAAATCAAGCAGGAGCGTTATTTATTTTTTTTTGTACTATCAGGTTTATAAAACTCGAGGCGAAATCGAGAGTTTTAAACCTAACAATACACGACTGCGAGTAGCCTGCGAAAACATCCGTTTCTCCTCGCTCTTCACCGCTGGGGACGCAAAGAGCGAGGAGAAACGGATGTTTTCGCATGCTAGACTGCGAGTTTTTTTAACGGCCTCAAAATCTCGGATATTGATCAACTAATTCTAGCACTAATATTTAGAATGATTTTGGTCTGAAAAAATTTGCTTGTCTTTATTAGATGTGAAGACACAGTTCATTAGACATTAATTTTTTTAATTTCTCTACGTGTTATTGATGAGTTTTTGAATGGAATTTAATGGACGGTGTAGTGTATAGCGGTTTTATGAGCAATAGAGCTTAGCGTGCAGCGGTTGTACGGGCAGGAAATACGGGAACTGAACATACAGTGTGAGCGGGCGTAGAGTGAGTGAGTTGACTTGGTATCGAGCAGAGTAGATGAACGAATAATGTGTTCGGTTTTATTTGCCTTTGTGGCCGTTAATACTCGGAAAGACACGTTTTAGCGTTTTGAAAAGAAAGCCTGACAGAGCTCCTTCAAAAGCTATACTGGAGGGACAGGTGGGCCCTCTTAGAGGAACAATCGTGAAAGGATCAGTACTTGGAAATGAATAGAACGAGGCTGAGGATAATTGTTATCGTAATGAAACCATTTTCTTGTCTGAATACAATCAGAAAGAAAGAAAAAAAAGGTTATTTTAATTTTTCGGCTTTATTACTGGGTAAGCCATTTAATGAAAATTCAGCAAATAATCACCTTTATTATTAACGCTTACTGGGGGTATTTATTCAACGTTTTGACGTAGGTCCATCTTTTGAATTTAGATTGAAATCACACAATCGTTGAAGAGGGAGTATAATAGTATTATTAGTTTGCTGATCAATAATGGGACCTAAAGTTAACAGACGGAAGTATTATTTATGTAAAACATATATAAGTATTATTTGAACAGAAGGTGTTTTTGAAAGCAACAAAGCCTCAAGGGAACAGACCTGTCAAGGAGTCAGTAAGCACGAGCACAACAGCAAATGGATCACGTCCCTGGAGCTGCTCTATCCAGTCTGATAAATCCAGAAGCAGGAAAAATTGGAGCAACAGTTGCTCTCAGTTTGATCCTTGTTGTTTCACTGGTTGGAATTTCTCTCATCGTATTAATTGTTTGCAAAACTCCAACTTCGAGAAACCGATAGTCAAGATATGTTGATTGCAAACACGGCCTTGTCCAACATGCTCTATCCAATTTTCAAGTTCCCTGCTAGCCTGGCAAGGTTCGCATCTCCTGTCTTATTGGTGGTGTCCTTGCTCAGGCCTTGTGTAAGATACAGAAGCTTACAAATTTTTTGGCACACGTTTTCTTCACATAGTCCAGCTGTTATCGACCAAAATTGTTCACTTTTATGATAAAAGCATGAAACTTTGCCAGATGACAACCAATCCTAAGACTAACATTTCTGGATATGGAGCCAAGCCAAATTCAACACTGAACACGAGTACTGCGCGGGCCCTAAAATGGCCTACATGAGAACGAGGCTGTTAGTGGAAGTCCTTCTAAAATACTATTTTTGAGTGTTTGTGTATGATCAGAGCCTTGTTCTGATAACAGTGGATCGATTTGGCGCTGTTGTAGTTCCACTTCGTTCCACTTCTCATAACTAGTAAGCAGTGTCCATTTTTCATTGTCGCTACCTGGATCGTCGCAATGGCCTTTCCTTGGCCATATAATGTTGCTGTTAAACTTGTTGAATACCCTAGCCTGCAGTGCAGGCGTTTTCTTCGGGTGCGCGAATGTTTTGCTCGTGAATTAGCGCAATGTTGAATAATAACATTGACGGTTTTTGTCGTCCATTTCCGTTTACTTTTCGCGGAAAATCGCTTTTGTGAAAGAAGAAAACAACAACAACAGCAACAAACTGCGCCACTATCACTTCATTTCCATGGTTTGTACTGTTATCTCCGTGTAGTACGCTTATAAACGCCTTTTAAAGGTAGATTAGAGCCGTTCTATTATAATCTTCTTCGAACATAGCTTAGCTTCTGGATGGTTTGATTCAAAATCGGCAAGGCATCCAAGGAAAAAGGGATCTTTCTAAGATGCTGGACAAAGTTCCTTATATAAATCTTACAATTAAAATTATACAAAATTGCCCTATATAACTTAATCCTTAAAGTGTTCACTTTAGGACTCCTTAAAGTGAACACTTTAAGACTCCTTCTATCATGCCTTTTTGTACACTTATTTTGCGTCGTTGCACTAGTAGGACTTGAAACGTCCAAAAACTCATCGATGGAGAAAGCGAACGCAAGACAACAACTTCCTTTTTGTTTTCGTGAACTGCTAAAGTCTTTTGGGATTCAATTCCAGAAAAAAGAATTACCAACGCATGAGAAATTGAATGAATGGAATAAGGGCCATAGAATTTAAAGCAGCACGAACTTCACTTTTTGAAAGATAACCTGAAATTGGACGTTCATCCTGTGGAGGCGCTCATACATTTATAGCATAGGCGCATAGTCGAGGAAACTATATGGAATTCCCTCAACAGTTTCATCATGAAGACGCAAAATGGACACAAAATCGACTCTTTACCGTTGATCTTGAAGGTTTCTGAGAGGGAAGTAGTGAAAGCTATGTATTCAGATTCAAACCCCATCACGGAGCTGGCCGTAAAAAGCATGATAGGGGATCGACGCGCGTACAGTTGAAACCTAACTCAAGGACTGAGTAGGTAGTTCCTGCCACAAACGATCGAAGAGAAGGATTTCAGCAGAAGGGAAAGAAGGTCAGTGAGCGGCGGTCCTACACTGTAAACTGATGAACAACTCATGGGCCTACATTCAGCTGTAGGCCTTAATATATAACTGAAATGCATTATTTAGAAATTCTATTGCAATGAAATACTCCAGGACGTTTTTGAAGATGTTAAAAGCACTGCTCACACCTCGCGTTTTATCACTGCTCATTACTTAGCTTTTAAACACGTTTCTAGTTGCAAATAAAAAGAAAGACTTTTTAAAGAAATTGCATTTGTAGTAAAGTTATAAAGAGAAACGTTTAATAAGCTAGGTAAATGTAGGATTCCTATAAAGTATTCGCCATTCCAAAAGCGAAGCCGGCTAAGAAGTCGGACAGAAAAAAAAACATGATTTTAGAAGGATCAAACTGCTATGCCTTTTTCCCTTGAATACTTTTCATGTTTCATTCTGCTTTGCGGCGTTTGATTTTTTCGAGGAGTGTGGCTCAAAATACTATTTGAATGTAATCAAGGTTGATTATGATTAATGATGGCGTGCAATTTGCGTTTGTTTATTCATTCCGGCTTCATCATCGCCGAAGAGAAAGCACATATATGCTTTAAAATATTTGATATAGATCAACTCATTCTTGTACTAACATTCAGATTTGGAGATGTTTTGGTGTAAAACATTTAGTCGCGTCCGTATCTTTATCAGATATAGAGACACACTAAACATTAATTTCTTTTGTTTCTAAGTTTATGGATTATTAATGAGTTTTTTTTTTTGGAAAACATCATTGTCACTGCCTTATGCAATATTTGTACTAACTTTATTTTAGGTAACATTTAAGATAGCTTAAAGGGGTATGTCATAAAGGTATTGCAATATTGCTGTTTTACGTCAATCTTTGCTTACGTCATCAGGAAATAACGTCACACAGTCCCTTTAAAACCAATACTGGTGGGTCAGGTGGGCTTTGTATCAAACAATCATGAAACTAAGTAGATGAAATTAATAAAATGAGACCACTGATGCACGTAAATAAGACGAAATTTGTAAGGAACAGTTCTCTTGGGTATTATCACATGACCCGTATTGAAAAAACAAAACATACTAGCTAATAAGTCTATTATCGACGCTTATCGACACTTAGGAGTATTTATTCAACGTTTTGATACAGGTGGACCTTTTAAATTTAAATTCACAATATGTAGAAATTGACTAATCGTATTGGAAGAACTATAGCTTTAATTTACTTACGTAATAATTTGCCTCAGTTTGCTGATCAATATCAGGATACAAAGTTATTCGGTAAAGCCCTCCAGGTGGCAGGAATTACAATTATTTGCTTACATGCAATCAGAATTAAGTACAGTGACAGTGTTGTCAATGGTAGAATAAAAAAAACCTATTATATATCAAACCATTATTTGAACTGTAGATGTTTTCCAGTAGAAGCGAGTATCAAGAGAACACAACTGTCGAGAAGTCAGTAAAAAAAAAACAACAACAACAAAAACAAAAACACAACAGTAAAATGGATCAAGTTCCTGGAGCTGTTCCAGTCTGATAAATCCAGAAGTAACGAACAAAACTCGGAGCAACAGTTACTTTTATTTTGAGCCTCGTTTTCGCTCTGGTTGGAAATTCCCTTGTCGTATTAATTGCTTACAAAACGCCAAGGAGTCAGTGAGGATGATCACAACAGCAAATGGATCAAGTTATTGGAGCTGCTCCAGTTTAATAATTCCAGAAGCAGTAAAAATTGGAGTAACAGTTGCTTATAGTTTTATCCTTTGTGTTTCGTTGGTTGGAAATTTTCTCATCGTATTAATTGTTTACAAAACACCAACTTTGAGAAAACCGATAAATATGTTGATCGCAAACATGGCCATGTCCGACCTGCTCTTTCCAATATTCCTGTTCCCCCTTCGACTTGCAGAGTTTCGCGTTGGCTCGTGGATTATTGGTGGTGCCCTTGGCCAAGCTTTATGCAAGCTACACATCTTTCTTGCGAATGTTTCTGGGGTAGTATCGATTCAGAGCCTGGTTCTGATAGCAGTGGATCGATTTGGAGCTGTTGTAGTTCCACTCCGCTCTCCTCTCATAACTAGAAAGCTGTGTCCATTCTTTATTATCGCTACGTGGATCACCGCAATGGCCGTTTTTTCGCCACTTCTTGTTGCATATAAACTTGTTAAATACCGAGAACGACTGATGTGCGTACGTCTGTGGATGGAATTCTTTGGAGGAAGCACGTTTGCAAATTACTTCCTAGCAGTTGCTGTCGTGTTTCTCTTCATCCCCTTTGTCCTCGTGGTGATATTTTACTCTATCATCTTGATGAAGCTTAAAATGCAAGCCCATCCAGGTGAACAGTCAGCCAACGCTGAAGAAAAGCGCACCAGAAGAAACAGAAACGTGCTTAAGATGGCTACAGCCATCATTGTAGGGTTTTTCATTTTCTGGATACCCTATTTCAGTAGCGCGGTGATAGTTAATTTTAGTGCACCGGACAGTTCCATCTCGTTTTCCTGTAGTTTTTATCTGTTCTACATTGTCACCAATTACATGATTTACGCAAACTGTGCTATCAACCCGATCATCTGCCTCACTTTTAGCAGTAATTATCTCCAAGCACTTAAGAGACTCGTGAATTGCTGTGATGTGATACAGTGCAAGATTAACTTTTGCAAACTAACAGCTGGGTCTTAAGCGTTTCGTGCCAAAAAAAAAAAAAAAAAAAAAAATAATAATAATAATAATAATAATAATTAATAATAATAGTAATGAGGATTAAAAATTTCACCATAAAATAATGACGAAGATGATGACGATGATTATAATTGTTATTATCTTAATGTAAATTAAGGCTTAAAACACCCCTTCAAAAACCGTGAACGAACAACGTTGTTCAACGTTGGATCCAACAAGATCGTTAAATCAGTCCAAAAAGATAAAAATAGAATTAAATTTAAAAAGACTACTGCAAAGACTGATCAAACAACGTGAAAAAGGCTAAGGTATACAATATTTCGACTGGCCAATACCAGTCTTCATCAGGTTTATTACGAAAAAAAAAACAGAAATATACAGAATATATGTTGCTGTAAAATAATTAACGGAAGTTACATGGTATGGCGTGCTAAGGTGTACGGATGGCTAACTCTTGGATTACTGTTTTAAAAAATGAAAGCTTAAATAATGACCTTACGATTAGTCTACCGGTAGCATTTAAGTCTGTCATTTGTTGTTTGATCAGTTTGAAGTAGTCATTTTTACTTTAATTCTTAACCAAGATACTAATAATAACTAGAGGTTCAATGTTCAATCTCACTAACATATTATCCGTATTTTTTTTTAAATAATCGCTGTATAATGAAAGATTGAATATTAAATGCAGACTCCAATATCAGTTTGGATTGTTATTGACACAATCAGGACATTTTTAAAAAACTTTCAGAAAGTATCTTCGATTAAGTGAATTGTCACTGAATTGTACACATTCGTTTCTGTTGAATTCATTCTTTTACTTCATGAGATCAATACAAATAAGTATTTGAAATGAACAGGAAAACCTAAATTCCGTTTGCGCAAACTCGGTAAGCAAATCGCTTGGTTTATTTGCCTCTTTGCCAGGGCATATTATGACCTCAATTGTAAAAATTCAGCTTGCTCGTCTCGTTGCTCTATTGACCTCGTTTAATAGAAAAAGCAGTAAACTACAACAGGACGGTTATCCACTGAAAACGATTCGGCTGAGATGATTGTTTATGGACGCTTTGAACTCATTGCCTCCTCTTGAGAAGATTTTATCGATTGTGTTCCTGATCCACAACGATCCGCAGCTGATAACTCGTTGGGCTCATGGAACGGCAGTGCTGCAAAAAATGAAAGAACATTGTCTGTCCCTCGAATCCTCACTTAAACTTTCGCTACCTTTCAAAAATAGTTAACTTAACAACTGACATGAGATGCAAATGAGTAACTTACCGGCTGAGTTGCAGAAAATATCAAACTGCCCCTCGCACTCGCGTGCGACTCTCCAATTCAACCTCATGCATGCCAACCTCATACGCAACATTAACCACTGTCTAAACATTTCACTTTGCTGCATTGGGTGCTACGCGGCGGGGACTGGGAACTGGTAAAACAGCGAAACAAACTTGCAAACTTCTAAACAAACTTCCCCACAAATGGCGTTCTCAGACGCCTTCAAGACAAAAATAGGTAGCTGCCCTGTGCGGGCAGCAATAATTACTATCTTGTTTACTTTTGCGTCTAAAAATCTGGGTAAGTTGTGAACCAAGCTGCTTAAAGAACAGGTTCCATTTTTTTGTTGATAAAAAGTTGTGCAAATTTAACAGTAGTGTTTCTAAATGATCGTAGAATTGACTGAAATATGACAATAAAAGAGCTTCAATACGCAAGTAAAGAGAAAAAGAGTGTCGGACAAAAATTCAAATGAAACACCATACAGAAACGAGCTCATTGACAATTGTCGATTGTGACAATGCAAATAAGTGAAAAGTGACGTAGAGAGAGTGTCAATCAAGAAATCCCCAGGGTATTGTTGGTTTTCACATGAGGTCACTAAAATTCAAATTAAAAAACTATTGATCCTAGCGATGCATTAGAGCAGCTGAAAACTAATTTTCATACAAATTTTCGCTTCAAAAGGGTTCTTGGTTTTGTAATAGAGTACGCTTGAATTTCTAAGCTTTTGCGTGACGCAGCATTTACATGACGTCCAAGAGAGCTGTCGTGTACATGTGGTTTAAAAAAAAAAAAGAAAAGACTTATTTCAGGAAATTTTGCTATATAAACAGTTCATGTATTACTTTAATGTTTATGAGTTTCTCGAAGAATAAATTCACGCTTTTGTAGCAATTCGGTCGAACGAATTAGCTTGTAACCCATTTGTTTTTAAACGCTCTAAAGTTAGATCATTGTTGTTGATTTTGCCAATGATGTTTCAACAGGCTGATTTCAACCGATTTTTAAACTTTTACAAACTTTTATGTTGTTCGAGTCGTACTTCAGTTGGATAATGCTTTTGCATAAACATTTCTGAGCAACATTTTTTATTTTTTTGCAGCTTTTGTTGATAAATCCAGAAGCAGGAAAAATTGGACTAGCAGTTGCAGTTTGATCCTTGCTGTTTCACTAATTGGAAATCTCCTCATCGTATATTACTTGTTTACAAAACACCAAAATTTAAGGCCTGTTTCAAACGGTCGCACTACTGCCGTGCTAAGCTCAGGCTCGACTGTAGCTGCGGCTGCAGCATGAAACTTGCACCACTTGGATTCAGACGACGAATTTAATTCAGTTGAATAGAACGGCTGCTCCTGGAAACAAAAGACAAAAATAAAGAAACGATTTGGCAAACTTTTAAATGTATTCTAATGTATTCATACTGATTTATGAATTGAGTTCGGCACGGCAGTAGCACGACTTGGTTTCAAACGTCGCGCTACTGCTGTGCTAAAGTCGAATTTAATTCGATCAATATAGTTGGGCACGGCAGTAGCACGACTTCTAAAAGGGGCCTATGAAAACCGATTAATCTGTTGATCGCAAACAAAGAACTCTCAGTTGTCGTAATGTTGTAAAAAGAAAGCTTTAAGCGAGGTGTATGTACGTTTTCTAGTATTCGCCTTTTTAAACGCGAAGCCAGCTAAGAAATCAAGAACATGAGTTTAGAAGGATCAAACTACTTGAATAATTTACATGTTTCATTGTGCTATGCGGCTTTTGATTATTAGTGTGGTTTAAAATTCCGATTGAATTAAATCAGGGTGGCTTTATGATTAATGATGGCGTGCAATTTGCGGTTGTTTGTTCATTCTTCGAAATTCATCCTTGCCAAAAAGAAAGTACATAATACTTTAAAATCTCTGATATACATGTAGATCAACTCATTCTTGCACTACTATTTAGATTTGGGGATGTTTTGGTGTAAAAAATTTAGCCGTATCCGTGTCATAAACAGATATAAAGACATTCATTAAACATAAATTTTATTTTTTTATTATTATTAGTGACTTCTTTTTTTGAATGAATCATTGTCACTCAGCCTTGTATGCAATATTTGTACCAACTTTACTTTAGGTAACATTTGAGAGAGCTTAAGCGGGCTTTGTCATGAGGATGTTGCAATATTGCTGCTTTACGTCAATTCTATGCTTACGTCATCAGGAGGGTCAGGCAGGCCCTGACCCTCAAGTAGTTGAAATCATTTTTGTTTATTGTCTGACTACAATTGGAAAAACAAAAAGAGTTTTTTTTTGACATGATATCTCGGCAACATTACAGAGACATACTTAGTCATTTAATGCAAATTCAGTAAATATGCATCGTAATAAGCCTCTTTAACCTGCATGTTTTGTTTTCCCAGTGGAGGTCCGAGGAGAACTTGACCCTTTGTTTGTTTCTTTATTTTTTTCATAAATGATGTGTACATATGCAGGTGAATAAGACGAAATTTGAAAGGAACTTATTGCTCTCTTGAGTACTATCACCCAGTGTATTGGAAAAACAAAATATACGAGCTAAAGAAGTCTATTATCGACACTTATCGACGCTTAGGAGTATTTATTCAACGTTTTGATATATATGTACCTTGGTCAGTCAGTTGTTTCAGAAGAAATACTAAAGCTTTAATTGACTTACATAATAATTTGCCTCTGTTTGCTGATCAATAACAGGATACAAAGTTATTAGGTAAAACCTCTGCAGGTGGCAGTATTTGCTTACAATTAAATACAGTGACGCCGAAGTGTTGTCGATGGTTCAATATTAAGCATGTACAATATATAAAACCATTATTTGAACAGTAGATGTTTTTCAGTGGAAGCAATTCTCAAGAGAACACAATTGTCGAGAAGTCAGTAAGCATGAACTCAACAGTAAATGGTCAGGTTTCTGGAGCTGCTCCAGTCTTATAAATCCAGAGGCACTAAAAATTGAACTAACAGTTGCTTACAGTTTTATCCTTGTTGTTTCGTTGGTTGGAAATTTTCTCATCGTATTAATTGTTTACAAAACACCAACTTTAAGAAAACCGATAAATATGTTGATCGCAAATATGGCCATATCCGACCTGCTCTTTCCAATAATCTTGTTCCCGGTTCGACTGGTGGATGTGCAAGTTGGCTCGTGGCTTATCGGTGGTAACCTTGGTCAGGCCTTGTGCAAGCTACATTTTTTCGGTACATACATTTCCTCGTTAGTATCTGTTCAGAGTCTGGTTCTGATAACAGTGGATCGATTTGGAGCTGTTGTAGTTCCACTTCGTTCCCCCCTCATAACTAGCAAGCAGTGTCCATTCTTCATTGTCGCTACGTGGATAATCGCAATGGCCGTTCATTCGCCATATCTTGCTGTTTCTAAACTTGTTGAATACCCTGGAGGAATGAGGTGCACAAGTCAGTGGAGAGAAACCTTAGGAGCAAACGCCAATATAAATTTTGTCTTAGTAGTTGCTATCGTGTTTTTCTACACCCCCTTTGTCTTGTTGGCGATACTTTACTCCGTCATCCTGATCAAGCTTAAAAGGCAAGCCCATCCAGGTGAGGCATCAGCCAACGCTGAGGAACAGCGGACAAGAAGAATCAGAAACGTACTGAAGATGGCTATTGCTAATTATGTAGTGTCATTTGCTGGATACCATTGTCCAGTAAGGGGATGATAATCATTTTTAGTGCACCAGAAAGTTCCATTTGGTCTTCTTGTAGTTTTTATCTGTACGATCGTATCACCTTGTCTATGGCTTTGGCAAACTGTGCTATCAACCCGATTATCTGCCTTATTTTTAGTAGTAGCTATCGCCAAGCTCTAAAGAGACTTGCGAATCGCAGTAATAAAGTGCAAGATAAATTTTTTGAAAACTAAAAGCCTGTTCTGAAACGATTCCAAAACGACCGATATTTAATAATTATTCCTCGAGCCCAAATGGGCTCTGAGTGGCTATTGACTCAGAGGCCATGAGGGCGAGAGGAATAATTATTTTAGTAAAATCCAACTGGTTGGTCAAAAATACCGAGAATAAAAAACTTTTAGCTAGTTTAAGCTAGACCTTTTTTGCCGCCAAAAAGCCCGCGCTTCTCGCTACTGGTAGGCTATAAAGTAGTAGTAGCTCAACCAATCAGAACGAAGCATTAGTAATAGACCACAAGTTGGATTTTACTGATAATTAATAACTTTACTGTAAAAAGATATTAACATGATGTTATTTTTATCTTCGCTAACAAAGCTTCTGGATGGTTTGCCGCACAACCCGGAAAGCAAATACAAAGTAGGCAGGAATATGCAGATTTAGCCAGGGCTAAAAGTGAGGCTCCCCATTAATAAATTTATAATGTAAATGAAACAATAAACTTGTATTCCACAATATTCGGTTAACTTTAGAGCATATTCATGTAAGTTTTGAGGGAAAGGCTAGGTGATTTTAGAGAAAAATAATTTGCAAACAGCCCAAGAGTGAGCCAAATCTTACATCGAGTTGATAGCCTCATAAGTACACCCAAAAACTGGCAATCATCTTCGACATCACATTTAATTGACATAATGTCCTTGATCACCATAGATTAATTAGGCGTGGAAAAAAAATCGGGCCGGGATTTTTGCGTTCGACAAGTTTACTTTACAAAATGTTACCAACAAATCTGGGTGCGTTTAAACCAACCTTTTATACCAGTCCATTTATAAATCACCTCTGAGGTGAAACAGTACTATGAGGCACTGTTTTTATCATACAGACCTCGGATAGAATGTAGTATTTCACAATTTTGCAATACAAATTGTACTCATTCAATATTCAGGACCATCGAAGCATGCGTGGGCTTTTAGCTAAACCATTAAAAAAATTTCCAAAATCACCAATACGGCCAGCCGGTTTTCACTTTTGCAGTGCAAGATGTGGTCAAGTGTTTAATAGACTACGAGCTGTCTCTCTTTTTTCTGTAGTCCGTCGAGCAAAACGCGAGACACGCAAATGGCCACGCGCGTGACTGATGGCGCGAGATGCCGAGAGGCACGAAAAAAGCTGCCACCCTCGTTTCGCGCGTTAACATTACATTTATTTAACAGTTAATGAATGAGGCTGAGTATCTTATGAAGAATTATTCTCGGCTTGCACTGTCACGCAATGAAAAATAAAAATGCAAACCATTCAATACAGAAGGACTAGAATCTGGGAAATGAAAAAAGATGAATATACAAAAACCCTTGCCAAGAATCAGGTCTGTGAAATATTTCAAATGCGAGATATTGGGAAAAACTGTTTACCTAAATTTATAAAGCTTTGTATGGAAAAGCCATGTTGGTGTCCCTTTCAGGAACACCAATATGGCCGCCGGATACCAACAGAAACATTTGTTTTCGAGTTTTCCTACTAATGCGTGAATTCTTCGCTTGAGGAACTCATAAAGTTTACAGTAATATTTATTCTGAGACAAGGAATGTTTAGATTGCAAAATCTCCCAAAATCGGTAACGTTTTTAACCCACATAAGAGCTTTCCCAGCCGCCAGCTAAATGCCGCGTCACGCAAAAGCCTGGAAATTCAAGCGTCCTCTCTTGCAAAACGAAGAACCCTTTCGAACCAAAAATTTGTTTAAGTAAAGATGTTAAGTACTGTAATACCCCGTGAAAATAGAAACTCAGAAGAATCGATAGTTTCTTAGTTTGATTTTTGGTGACGTCACGTGCAACCCAAGAATAGAGATCGAGGAGGGTGTTATCCATCGAGGCCGTAGGCCGAGGCGGACAACACCCTCTGAGATCTCCATAATTCTTCATAAGATACGAAAGCCGAATTCAATAAATGTTTTACTATTCATTCAAAATAATTCCTAGTTTAAAAACATAGCTAAAAAATGCTTACCTCCATCGATCCATCGATGTTCAGTTCATCTTCGATAGTGTACGTTTAGGTTTGTCCACCTCCGCAAATACT